TATATATATATGAGAGAATCAAAACACAAAACGGTTTAAAATTACAAAATTTTCTTCATAGTATTTAATTTTAAATAATTATACAGAACACCCTATATATTAAGGTCATTGTTCTTTTAAATTAGGTATACAAATAAGCGCATTAGTTACTTGTCGCTAACAACTTGTTGCATAATTTAATCTAAAGAAAATTTATCGTTATTGTAAAATTGCATCCAACATAACATATTTTTAAATACGTAGTTGCGTCTTAAAATTCAAGATACCGTGATCAATAAAGTGCAATTAAAAAACATGAAGTTAAATTTAGATTCCTAAAACGTAATTTAGAAAACAAAAAACTGATTACATTACTGTTAATGATTGTCTTATTATTATTACGGAATAATTAATTTTAAAAAGCCTCTCTTAATGAATTAGTTAACGAAATAGTAGTGCTTTACTAGACACAAAAGCTGGGTGTGTACACCCACATGTTCTAATCAATAACTTTTATGATTTTTTTGCGTGCCTACCCTTAATAATTTCATTTAAGTCTGAACAGATGTATACAATTAATCCTTAATCAAACATGAATTAAAGGAGGGGGTACACTTTCTAAATAAAATCGTAAAAGTAAAATTCTAAAATAATAGTTAATAGAGTTGATATATTTTACAATTTTACGTTTGGGCCGATTTTCTGTAGAAAGTGTACCCCCTTATTTGATAATTGTCATTCAAATATATTGCAATTGAAATGTTAGCAACTAATAACATCCCGCAGCAATCAAAGTAGACTTATAAGTATTTATTATAACAAAATAAAAAGTGGCAGGAAGGCAAAAAAAGAAGGAACCACACGCATGCATGTAGTTTTTGGCTTCACAAATGCCTTCCAGATGTTTGAAATTTAACGTTTATAACGAGGTATATATATATACATGTAGGAAGTCTTTTTATGAACCTAAATCTGGTTGTAATGTAAACGTGGGAACAAAAGACTAAACGTAAGTTTAATAAAAAAAGGTTTTTCTTCGTATATCTGCTATATTTCCACTATGTTTTAATCAACATAGTTGTGGAAAATGTTTAGAGAAAACCCGCAATTTTTCCATGCTATATAGATTTAAGTTTGATTTTTTTTACCTAGCAGTCTTTTTTTTCAGTTAATTTAACTGACGCAGAAATAGATAATTTAGTCGTGTAATAGAGCAGATTTGCTCTACTTACGATTGGATGCAGCTTATTGCTATTTAAATTCGTTATATCGAAGAAAAAATTATTTTATAACCGATTGTACAGAAATGAGCAAACAAATTATTATCGTTCTAACTTACTTTTTTAAACAAAAATACGTTGTTAAACGCATATATGTATGTAATAATGAAATGAATGCTTATTTTAATTACTGGAGTATTATTATCAGCTACTTCTCTGTTTTAACTAATTATGTGACAGCAATTGGATGAGTGTCAATTAGCTTGAATGGCAAGTGCTCTTTCTTAATTAGTTAATACATCTATAATTGATTTTTTATTTGAGAGCCGAAGTTATAATTATCAATTTATATTCCTTATTTTCCACTTTGACGTTACATTATTATTCATTAGTACTTGATTATCAATCGGAGAAAGCATTACGATTTTTCTTCTGAATGCATATTTGAAATTAAAGTGAACATATCTATCTTCTGCATATTTTAAGACACAAGTATATATTTATATAGAAAATTAATAACATATATTGTAATGAAAGGAATTCCCTATGTTTTTTAGGAAAATAATTGTTACCATTATTTATACAGCATAGTAAAATTAATAGCATAAGTTTTATTATACGTTAGGCATTTAAGGAGTAACAGTTTGCCAGGTCTGTTGTACATATCCCTAATCCCTATCCCCTTTATTATCCATTTGGTTCTTTCCTGTTTAAATCTGTTTCATGGACCTGGTGAACAATCTTTTTAAATTTAAATCATTCTCATTGACTCATTTTGTCTGGTTCTCCCCCTCTTACATCTTCTTTCTTCTCACGATTTTCCACTGCATCAGCACAACATTGCATCTGTCTGCCTTATGTTATTTTCAAACTTTCTTGTTCATCGTCTATCTATTGTTAATTTTGATCTTCTTTAATTTTTACGTTTATTTCCCTAATTTTTCGTTAAATGTTCTTATACTTTTTATTTATTATTAATAATTTACAGATAAATTTCAGCAAGTACCCATGTAAAAAACCTCTGCTGTTAAGAAAAAACACATTAAGTTTTTTTTACCTTTCTTATATTCTAAATCGTGTTGTATGGTTATTTTGCAAATAATTATCGCTATTTAAACCGTATTTGCCTTGCTGGCTCAGGTAGAACATAAATTATTGAAATAGAGAAAGTATTCCACTTTATTGTTAAAATTGTGTTTTCAAAACAACGTTTAAAAGTTACCTTTCTTATTTCAAACAAACAAAGCTGTGCTATAAACACAGTGCAATATCAATAACATAACTATTATAACATTACTACGAAGGTTACAACTAAAATTTTATGTAAGCAATAGGTATTAAAATTACAGTTGATTATTTATCTTTATTATTAATGATTAATTTATATTGTACTATTATTAAATTGCAATGATTTGATTCCGCTTGAACAAATGAAGGAATATTTTTAAAAATTTTCAGTAGAATGAACTCAACTGATGCAATAAGTAATATGAATTTGAGAAATTCAATTTATTCGTTACTTTTTGTATATGAAAGGTTGCCTTTGATTGTATAATGTCTACCTATGTAGCTTAGGAAGTTGCTAGTTATATTATCACTTACGCACTTCCGTTTTTACCGGAAGTTAGTATCATCTTTATTGTAGTAATAATAATTATGCATTTTTGCATTTCTGAATAAAATTGTGTATTCCTCTTTCACACATTGTTCCTTTTGCTTTCTGAAATAAAAAATGTAATAGGTTACTTAAAAGGGATTATAAATTGTGTACTTGCATATTGGGATAACTTTCTTGATAATATAATTTTTGTTGGCGGATTTACGTTTTTAATATGTATTTACAACATAGTTTTATGGACTTTTATTAAGACATTCTGTAGGTTTGACTATGATGTGAAAGTGGGCTTGAATTAGCTATTGGTATAAGTACAAGCTCGATGAAGCGTTGTGTTTTTGTCTGATCGTTCTGGACTGTTGCTTTGAAGAACAGCTTTTACTTTGAGGTGCATCAAAATCGCGAAAAATACGTACCTCCATGTAGTACAAAAAATTTCTTGAAATTAGCGAAAGGCACCATAAACCGATTAATTTTTAACCACCTTAAATAATAAGATGCAAGTAGCATATAGAACATAAAATTCTTTTATCATTATTAATTGCAGAAGGCATTTATGTTAATATTCACTAAGTATGCCCATTTTTTGTTCTATTTACTTATTATTATACGAATTTACGTTAAACATTGAATTAACTAACTTCATCATCATCATAGGGTCGTCAGTCCTAAGACTGGTTGGACACGTACCTCCACTCTTTCCTATCGTGAGCTAAACTTCGCTTTTCCCTAAAACTAGAACAGCTCACATCCTTAACTATTTGCGAACAGTAATCTAATCTAGGTCTACCTCTACCCCTTCTAACTCGTGTTTCTGCCTCTAATATGTCTCTGACTAGACCTTCATGCCTGAGAAGGTGTCCTACCAACCTATCTCGCCTATTTTTTATTGACTTCCATAGAGTCCTCTNACAGAAAAATTTGTAGCTCTTTTTTAATTGCATATCGTTTTTTTTTTTTTTATTTCCCGGTTAATAATTTGTTATAGTTACAGAGTAATACGTAGATATGTTTTTTCTTAAATTAATTTGCAAAGTTTGATGATAGAAGTGTTTATTGTTAACTTACGGTATTGGTGTATTTTATTTCTTTGTTCTTCTCTAATTAATTATAATTACGCTGTAGACCGGAGACAATAATTGTTACAATTAGACTCAAGTACATACTTCATTTAAAAAGATGCTGAAGAAATTAAAAGTAACATCATCAAAAATGTCTGTGATCTATAGTAGTAGTTCTTCTATTCATTAATTTGTGTTGTTAGATACAAAAGTTATAAAATTTGTTTTTATTTACCTTACAGCTTTATGATGATGATATTACTGTTCCAATGGTATACGATTCAAATTACTTATCAGAATCTGAAAATGACAATTACGCCAGTGACTACTTAGAAAACGACGTTTCTAGTGATAATAACTTCTCAGACAATGTAGAAATGACGCGTGGAAATCCCAACGCATCGCAAATAGCAATTTCTCTTGTAAAAAGAGCAGTTGGCGATGCCAATGCACAAGGGTAACTTTTTATTGATAAATATTTTGATAGATATTTACGTTATTTAATAATCTTTAAGATTATCATTAGCGTCAGATGACAGTAAAGAAATTTTATCTGACAATCTACAACCTACTGAATCATTTACTAGAAGAACAAGAGCTAGAAACCCTTGGAGGCCAAATGTAAGCTTTTTAACGAGGTTTAATCAATTTTTTTTGCATTTGCTACCCTTTATTAATTAATTAGGTCGACGTTGAGGAAATAGAACCGAAAAGTACCGCAACATCGCGCAGACGGAACAGGAATAGACATAGAAATAATAATTTGGAATCTTTACAGCAAGCTATTGTGCATTTTTCTGGTGACACCAGTAAGTATGTAGTAGGAAAACATGAAAACTTCAGAGGTGAGGGTGTTTAACAGTCTAATAGTTATTAGTAAAAAAACTATTGAAAACTTTTACCCCAGGAAATGGGCATCTACGTCACCCAAACCAAATATTTGCTGACTGGAAAGAGAGTGATTGGGTGAAACCCCTGGGAATGAATGAAAAGTTTGATTTTATGAACGGATATCTCAAAATTAAAGAAAACGGATTATATTTCGTATATGCACAGGTAAAAAAACATCCATAGTTACAATAACATTTACAGCTCTTTCAGTATTTTTTTTTTATTATAACTTTAATGTGTATATACATAAATGTGTAAGTATTTTTGTTTTGAAGATTTATTATCTTGATGAACACGACACAAATGGCTTTCATGTTCACAAAAATCGTGATGCAATTCTTCAGTGTACAGTAATGACACATACAGTGAGTACAGTAACAAAAGGTAACACATGCTATACAGCTGGAGTTGAATATTTGAGGGAAGGAGATGAAATTAGTATAAGAGATGTGGGTAGTCACCGTTATTCTTTATTTGAACCAGGAAAATCCTTTTTTGGAGTCATAAAGTTGGGAGACGTTAAAGTAAAATAAGTTTGTTCTATGTACATTTTAAGAAAGAAAAACTTAAAAAAATACTCGCATGTATTATGTATTAATATTGTGATAATTGAGCCCTCTGTTTTGTAAACTTATTTGTAGATTTTAGAATAAACTATTCAACTTTATTTTGCTCTTACTACAATGATCTGAAATGTTCTGTAGTAAATTTGGTAAATATAATTATTTTTATTTTTTTTTAAGTATTTTTAGGAGTATATTTATTATAAGACTATCTATGCACCATAGTGCTCAAGTTTTTTGAATAGGTACATTTTTTAATTTGCCAGGAAATAAATAGTATAGCTTACTATCA